CTCTGTCAGGAAGTTCTTCCTAATGTTTAGCCGAAAACTCTTCTGATTTAATGTCTACCCATTGGTTCTGGTCTGACCTTCTGGGGCAACAGAAAACAACTCCGCACCATCCTCGATATGACAACCCTTCAAGTACTTGAAGATGGTCAGCATATCACATCTCAGTTGTCTCCTCTCCATGCTAAACAGACCCGGCTTCTTCAGTCTTTCCTCAGAGGACTTGGTATCCAGACCCCTCACCATCTCCGTTGGCCTCTTCTTGACACGTTCCAGCTTGTCTATATTCTTCTTAACTTGTGGTGCCCAAAACTGAACACAGTACTCCAGGTGAGATCTAACCAGAGCAGAGTAAAGCGATACCATCACTTCGCATGATCTGGACACTAGGGATGTGCATTCGGTTCGTCCGAACCGAATGCACCCCCGAAAATGGCTGATTCGGACCCCTTTTGGGCTGCTGCAGGCCAGATCAGATTCTCTGATGTGAATCGGCTTGCCGCCGAATTTCGGCGGCAATTTGGCCCCATTATATCCTATGGGCCATTGAAGTCACTGGCGAAAACATAGGGTATATTCTGGGAGCTGGAGGGGAGGGGGTTTGAGGGAGAGGCTCCAAACCCACAGGGTAGCTGCTGGAGCTTCTCCCCAAGCTACCAACCAAGTTTGAAGAACATTGGACCAGGGGGTCCACTTCTGCGTGCCCCCAAACAGGTTGCCCCTATCTCCTCCATTGTTCATGGTGGGAAAAAGTAACTTTTTTGTAACTTTGAGGGCCTGTAGAATTGGACCCCCTGCTCCAATGTTCTTCAAACTTGGTTGGTATCTTGGGGAGAGGCTCCAGCAGGTACCCTACGAGATTGGAGCCTCTCCCTCAAACCCCCTCCCCTCCAGCCCCCAGAATATACCCTATGTTTTTGCCATTGACTTCAATGGCCCATAGGATATGACATTCGGCTGGCCCTTTTTCAGGCCCGGCGTTCTAGCTAGGAGCCTGAAAAAGGAGGGGAGGGCAGGGGGCGTTTTTCAGGCCCAACGCTGCAGGGGAGCCTGAAAAAGGCAGGGAGGGCAGATCAGCAGTCCCCCCCTGTGGTTGAAGCCATAACTTTTTAAAGAGCCCCTAAGGACAGCTGGGGGAGCCAGAATGACCTCTTGCTGGAGAGGTGGAATTTGCCCCTACAAGTCCAAGGCCTCCACTCTGGGGCTCAGGGAGGCAGGAGAACGTTTCGCCCCACCCCGCCCCTGCCCGTGCAGGCGTTGCAGATGCCGCTGAGAACAGCGGCGGCCATAACT